TGATTTAGTAGTTTGATGAGTGAAGTTTCCAATGAATATTTATATTTAATCACAAGTGTTTCAAGACAGTTTTTTGTTGTGAACTTAATATGGAATAATTTCTTAAATTTTGGCATGTGCCAAAGAAAGGACTATGTTTTAACAGGTAATCTTTATGTTTCCATAAATGTGTGTCAATCTGTAAGAACTCATATTCATATACAATAATGTTAAACAAAAAATAAGACAATAATATATATACAAAATAATTTAACTGTACTTCTCATATTAAAGGCAACATCATGTTTTTTCAAACCTAGTCTAAGATTCTTTTATAATATCAGCAATGGCAGTTAATATTCCACAAAAGTCTTTAAATCATCATATTTTATATCTTAACATTCAAGTAGTTTTTGATTCTTTGTCACACAGACACCAAATATTTTGCCCCCTTATTCTCGAATACAGAATATTATTTGAAATGATAAAACTCAAGTGAAATGAAAGAGAGGGACAGTAAATAACTTGCATCAATTATGTTATCCAAACTGTCCTAAAGACAGAAGCCATTAAGAGGTGGGTTATAGAGGCCTTGTTATAATTTATTTTGGCTCTTCCTCTTAATTACTCAAATTTAATGCACTTGGAAAACCATTTTGAAACAGCGAGCTATGTTTTGTCACAATTTTTTAGTATAACTCCAGAGTAGGGTTTGGCAACCCAAATAACAAGAGCCATTTTTTTCAAATTCAATAAAAATGCAAGATACTGAGAGCTGTAATGCATGTAACCCCATTTCAATAATTAGACAGTAAAACAGTTAAAGAGCTGCATGTGACTCCGGAGCGACAGGTTACCAAGCCCTGCTCTAGAGAAACTAAAAATAATCTGATACAAGTGCTTTTGCTCTTCATAAAAAGCAAATGACTTACAAAAGATTTTTAAATCAATAAAAGTTTTCAATTATAGGATTATTCCAAACTCTCTGGGTTATGTAACAACTATCAATAGATATAGAGGGCAGTTACTATTAGATTCCTATTGAGAAGAATATTTTGTAATTTGGAGAAAATGTATGTTATCTTTCTAAAGCTAATCATAAAATATTAACATTTCTGATTTAATAAGAAGTATACAGGTTATACGAGAAAAGTTGCTAGGAGCCAGTCTTGTATGATAAATACTTAACAGGAAACTCTCTGATTCATTTAAAAGGAAAATTTAACAAGACAAACAACAGATGTCTTAATAAAGACTGAGTGAATAATATAGAGAAAAGTTGAAACTGTAGAGAAGCTGTGAGCTTTAGAAAATGAAACAACCAATCTAAATGACAGATAACAGAAAGGTTTGCTGAATCTTCACTACTGATGGATTATCATGAAACTCAAAAGAACCGACAAAACTACTACATAGCTAATACATGAGAAGTTTAATAAAAACAAAGAATCAATTCTTTATAATAATTATACCAAGAGGACTTTCATTTGTCAGGCACCAGAAACTTGGCTAATAGTGAAAAACAACTAAAATGTTCTACCTACATTTATTACTTTCTTTGATGAACCCTCCCCACCCTTGCTCAGTCGTATTTTCACTTTCATACTTTGATTTTCTTCTTCGTCATCATCATCACAATCGTCTTGTTGGTCATCATCAGCACCACCCTGGAAGAAAGATAACCCATATCAATACACAAAATTTTTGAGACCTCCATTAACATTTGTGATCTTACAATAACAATGTTCTAGGACTAATCTTCTTGGTCTATAAATATTTGTATCTTTGTGCATTCAAATATGTTGTCTTATACAACATATGCTTAACATAACAGTGAAAAACATTCACACACAACTATTTCTAACTTTAGGTCACTTATACTTAAAATAGCAGGGCAAAATCCTTAGAAAAATCAACAGAAATCAATGTAATTTTTATTATTTTCTACTCTTATATTTTAGAAACAAGAGCCAAAAATATATTAACAGTATGTGCAAGGGTGGGGTTGAGGGTCAAAGTGTTCATGCCATGACCTTTTAGTTACATTCAAAATTTCGTTAAACATAGTTTATAATTCAAGTTTTAATTTCTTAAATTCAAAAGAAAATATCTTAATAATTCATAAGTCTTCCTTTCTTTGTATTAAGTGACACTACTTTGCCCCAAATTGCTCATTTTGGATTTTCGTTCTGCCCCTATAAAATTCCCTAAGTTTCCCAAATATTACACACTTATACTACAGACATTTCCAAACCAAAATTGAAATGTCAAGCTTCTTGCTTCACTGAGATATAAACAAATAAGTGAAATTCAGATGCATTTTCCTCCTATCACATTCTGTCTTTCAAAAAATGTCAATAATTCTAGTTGCTATTGGATTATTTACAACCAACAGAATAAGAAGATTTTTCTGAGACTAGATCATTCAGCTAACAGGTTTTGAAACATTTGGACTCAGTTTCTTTGTTCGATATTGTCCAAGTTGAGCTAGACCAGCTAGCAGAATTTTTAAGTTACTTATAGCTTAGTTAGAAAGCCAGTTAAATAACAATAGCTTAGGACATTATATTTTTTTATGTTTGGTTATATTTTGTATTCTAAGTTGAATATCTGAATTTAAAAAAAAATCATTCGTGAAACAACACCAGTGTTACAAAAAAGGCTTAGAGGGCATCAGGGCTTTGTTGTTATGGGTACAAAGACTTGAAAAACATGATTCCACACATAAACACTAAATTTCTTGTTTTTTTTATGAACACTTTTTATTTATTGATATAAAAATAACTACAATATCAAAATTAAAGACTTAATAGGTTTGATCATAAAACTTATTGTTGTTTGGTTTGTATTGAATTTCGCATTAAGCTACAGAAGGGCTATCTGCACTAGCTGTCCCTAATTTAGCAGTGAAACACTAGCGGGAAGGCAGCTAGTTATCACCACCCACTGCCAACTCTTGGGCTCTCTTTTACTAAAAAGTAGTGGGATTGACTATCCCACTATAATGCCCCCACAGCTGGAAGGGCAAGCAGATTTTCGAGTCAAGCTCTAAACACCTGGCTATGCCAGGCTATGATAAAACATAAATGAAAAAATAAATAAATATATAAATACAAAATTTCTCAGCAAAAAATGCACACAACCTGCTTGTTTGTGATGTAAATCAATACTTTGTTTACTGTAACGTTTTACAAACTGTTACTGGGTGATTTATTGCTTTGTTACACTAGTTTAACAGTTAGACACAGTTCAAAGAGAAGGAAAACAATAAAATAAAGTGAAAGCAATTGTGAAACATTTAGATGCCTAAAGCTGTCTATTACAACATGCAGTATACTGAGGAAAAAAAAATGTACTTTTGATTTTATTCAATACTTTTTAACATTTGCAACAGTCGATTTTTCTACAGTTAGTGTTACAGAGCAAATACTAAAATATAAGTTTAGGATTTATGTAAATGAAATATGAATACTGTATGATGAAAAAAAAAGTATTTTTACTTTTAATGCACACTTGTTTGCAGTTAAGGATAAAGCTACACAATAGGCTATCTGTGCTGTGCCCACCATCATGGATATTGGAAATGGGGGGGGGGGGTAATCAGTGTCTGAGTCAAATTGACTCAGTATATTCACAGTCAAATCTTTAATACAAATACTTAACTAAAAATTCTGATTTTTTTTGTGTACAACATATTCATGTTGTTTATCAAAACCTTCTCATATTTCATGGAAATACACATAGTAAGTTAAGATTTACAGAGGATGTTAATTACTTCTCCAGTATGGTCTCAGTCCAATGAACTGACCTTGTGCACATAGGGTTAAACAAATAACTGTTTATTTGAAACAAAAATAAGATTTATTTACTAAAACTATATTCAAACAGATATGTATCTGGTGAGTACAAAAATTCCCAACAATTTACAGTCCAAGAATTATATTTATTAACTGTTAATTATGCATTATAGCTTTGTTTTCCTATCAGATCTTTATCTCACAAAACTTAAAAGATAAATTAACTTTTTCTTTTAAGTACTGCTTTTGCATAGTTCTATGTAAAACAGTTGAAGCTTGAAGTTATATATAGTAATTTTTAATGTCTAATACTTTTGTCCTAAGAAAGTCTTCTTAAGATTCCAGTTGGTACAGTAATCTGTCTAAAAAAGGACTAAAGACAGATTCTAGCAATATTACCTCACATAAAATAGCTTGAAGATTAAATGTTATATATGCTTCATATTTCTTAAATCCTATAAAGCCTATAATCTTACATTTTCTTCACAATACCATTTTTAAAAGCTGTATCACACATTTTTTGGAGGGGAGAGTGGAGCTCTACAATTTCTAAATTGCAAAAATGTAGATGAACAGCTCAACTAAAAGTTCAGATTTAGAACTTGTACAAAAACTAATTTTAAATTATTTGCTCTAAAATATGATATTAGCTTTAAAGAACAATTAAAGATTTTCTATGGTGCCTGCCAAAATTACACACGTCCTAATGTTTCAGTGTTTCTTTTATGTTGATAAAGTTAAGAAACTTCAGAATGAGGTCTTTAAAGACTTCTTACCTCTATATAAATATTTTGCGCCAATACATCCTTTGCACCAATACATCCTCTGCTACTCTGTTAAAAGGTAGAATGTGTGATTATAGAAGAATTATCTTTGATAAAATTGTTAATACATCTAATACCTTATGCTCAGTTTTTTGTATTTAAACTTCTGCTTCCAAAAAAATTAAAATTACTTACATTATCCATATCTTCAGGATTTTCAGGTTCACTTTCCTCATCCACACCAGTCAAAGCTAAATCTCCATCATTTTCTAGCCTTTCTCTTGCACTGGTGAAAACTGACTGAAGAACAATCGAATCTTCATAGATCATAGAACCTTCTACATTATATGTCTGAGCATTCTGACACATGATCATGAAATCATTTTCCAGATCATCAAGGTTACGATAACGATGCTCTCTTATTCTTTGCTGTTTATCATAAAAATTAAGACTATTAAAAACATTTAAGAACCACAAACACAATTTCTTTGATGCTTAATCAAATCCTTTTTCAACCAAGAGTTAAAGAAAAAAAAGCTTTATGAATTTAACAGTTACTTTATGTAACTTCCAATGGATTGGAATTTGTATACCACTGATAAAGCCAAATGTAGGGTAAAAGAACATCTGTTCTAGCTACATCTAACATGAAAGATGGAAAAGTGGTACTTCCAAAAAAGCTTGACAACCCAACAATACAAGTAATCGTTTTTAAAATTATCATTTTGTATCTAAAATACAGCTTTCAAAACAGATGCCAGCTAAATGTCTATCTTCAACTAATTACTTAAAGGCATCACAGGAAGACATCAATGATCTAAGAGATCTACAGATGTATGCACCAGAAAGCCCAAAACTTGAAGGGCAGTTAGGATTTAGGTGTAGCCTGCTGGAAGCATGCTAAGTGATACTAATGATATTTATCATGAGTAATATATGAAAATGAGACTGAGAATTGCAAAGATCAATCAAATAAGCATTGGAATCTCACAATATCATGTTTGAAGAACTATGAAATAGCTGCAAATATGACAACATCTCCTCCACGTCAAGCAGCCGATTCAAACAAGTTAGATGGGGCACTTTATAGCAATAATTGTTCGAGACACATCTTAAGAATAAGAAGTACATATGGTTTCTGAAAGTGAGTCCAAGTCAGAACATGACAAGCACACTTCAGGTATTACTTCAAGATAACTAATTCTTGGTAATTTATATTGACGGAAAAAGAACAAAGAAATAACAACATATATTGTTAGCTATCCACTGAGTATTCTACAAGTTTTCCATCTAAATAAAGGAGCAGAACATTAATGAAGAAATAAAATTACTTTTTGTTCAGTCAGTTTTTTCTTGAAAAAGTAGTTCTTAAAACATTTCTTTAGTCTTCAGGAGATAGTTACCATGACTACCCAAACTTACTAAAATCATGACACAAAAATCTCCTGTAATATATTACATTTAAATCTGCAACCATGACATGACATTTTATAACTAATACAACACCGGTTTAATTTCATTGATACACAATAACCATTACTGTGCAGTACTACTTCATTCTGAATCAAAAAGTCACAAAATATATTTATGAAACTGTTCTACACATGTATTGTTTACTTGTTTATTGTTTAGCACAAAACTACAAAATGGACTCTCTGTGCTGTGCTCACCACGGGTATGAAAACTCAGTTTTTAGCATCATAAGACATCAGACTTAACGATGAGCCACTGGAGTGGTCTAAAAACAGTATAAAAATATATCTACAAATTAAAATTGATAGTGTTATACTGGCTATAAAGGGCATATTTATAGAGCTTTACACAACCACTGATAGAACTCTTCTAATCTTGCAATTACCTTACAGCAAATATTTTCTTTTTTAAAAATGCATTATGTTGTATTTTCTTTTACTACTTGAACTTCTGTGCATGCATTATTAACTCAAAACCACTTGCTTTTGTCACACATTACAAACATACACAGAAGTCTGCATTTTTATGTACAATATTTCTTCTTTTCTTGTAATTCAAACTGATCTCACTTTCAGAAAACATACCCGAATCTTTCGAAGATCAACTGGTTTCTTAATGATAGCATAGTAATCTGGAAATTCTCGTCTTAGGGGCAGCAACATAAATGCTTCACTCAACACCCGACCATCACTGTTGTGAAAGAACACACTTTACTATGCTGAACATTTAGTATGAATGAGATGTAAAAGAAAAATAAGACAAAGAAGACTAATTATAAAAATCTGAAAAAAAGCAGTAAAAAATACAGGTTTCATATCAGCCAGTTCCTAAAAATTTTATCAAACATTAACTACAAATCTAAATAATTGGCTTAGATATTACATACTATATAATCAATTTGGTATTAATCCTCAACAACGTTATTTTTTATCTTTCAGTTTGTAAATACAGTTGGTGACTTAAAAATACTAAATGAATAAACTTTCTATAGAAATGGGAACTTTGTTTTAAAAAATTCAATTCAATTTTTGTTCCACTATGAAGATGATATAGTCAATGTCTGTCATAATTACAAATTTTACAGCAAAAAAATAAAAAATCACATATAGAAGTACATTTTATGAAAACCCATAGACCAGAAAATTACAAGATGCCAAGTAATACCTCATTTGACACTGAAGCAAGAAATTCCAACAATACTGAAATAGTCTTTTTGGTGTTTATTTCATAGGTGAACTTTTTTATACTTATACATGAACCTTTTATTAAGCTAAAAATGAGAAACTAGTCTTTTTCGTATAAAAAATATTTCAATATATTTTATCTCTACACATTTAAGTTACATTTTGTTTCTTGAATACAAGATATCATGACATTTTCTCACACTTTACTAGTTCTTAGTGATCAAAATTATTATGGTGTAACTACGAAACACATCCCAGAATTACTAAATTGTTTTAATACAAGAATGCCTTTTTGAATATTCTCTCTTACTAGAAATTAGTAAAAGAAAGTTCCAAAATTCAAAGAATTTATAATAATACTAAATTACTTTAAAAGAATACTACTACACTGTATATAACAATTTATGGAACATATTAAACATTAATATTAACTAAGGGAAAAACTCATGCTTCACATACAAAACATTTTTATGGTTGTGGTACTTCATACTTGAATGCACAAAGTTTATAAAATGTAAAAACAGTGCTTTCTATTCAAAGTAATTAAAGTAGTTAAGTGACCTGCCTAGACTACTCACGTATGAGATTAGGTTAGGAAATCTGATGGACATGCAGAGTGTCTCAATGATTGCAAAGTAAAAATTAGGTGGGTTAAACCTATTCCACAAATACGTTATACCCACTAAATGTCTCTCATACAAAAAACACTCTGATCTAAATGGTGTTATCAGAAATGACAAACTGACTGACTTATCTAGTAATAGACACCAGATCTAGCAATGCTTTCAAAACTTGGGTATCAGGGGAAAGTATTAAAATCAACAGGGTGATGGTACTGATACTCTTAAGTGCCTAAAAACAAATGAAAAACAGAAAACTTTAAAACATAAACACTTCTGCTTCAGATGGAGCTCTGAAGAATGACAGATCCATTTCCCAAATACTTTTCTCTTAGCAATGTACAGTACTATTTGCACCAATGCTTCCCTTACACACATGGTGATGTCAGCTGTACTTTAATACTCCTAATTTCATTTTTGCATCGTTCAATGAAGTTTAAAAAGCTTCCCATGCATGCACACACGTTATTCTTTCCATTATATAAAACGAGAGTAAAGAAGAATATTACATTAAAATAACAGTATTACAATGGTACTCACTTTGTATGCATTTATCCAAACATGTACAAAGGTGACACTGCATTTATAGTATAAGTGTGCTTAAGTAGTTGAATGCACAAGCGTAAGATGGCATCAGTCAGAAATAAACTTAAGTTTACACATGAGTGAAATTCACTCTTCTGCAAATGCATGAGTTTGCATATGTACAAAAGACCATTACTATGTTTATTACAAGTGCAAATTTGAACAAGTATAATTTTCTATAAGCTCGGTTATACACAACCAAGTACTTTGATAAACACAAACTCGCATAAGCGTGAGTTTCACAAAAATAAAAGTTTACATAGGAACAACTCTACAGAACAGTGAATTCAAACAAAAGCCATAAGATTCTCTGCCATAGAAGGGTATGCTATGAAACTAGTACCTCCTTAATGCTGCAGTTATAATTAAGCATAAAAGCTAGAGAATATTGCATTCCCCCACCAAAAGCAAAATCTCTTTCATTTTCAAAAAGCTCATTTCTTTACAATCACAAACAAAATTCACTTTAACTATTAGATAAGAAGGGTAAATTATATTTTAAATCATAAACTTAAAACAAAATTAGTAAACGTATTAAGATAAATACGTAAAACTAAATTTGTCGTTATAAATAAAAGACCGATTTTACCTCGTGTTCTCTGTTCGTTTGTTTGTTTCAGGTATTCGTGCAAAACTACACAAAAGCTATCTACACTAACTGACCCTAATTTTGAATTGATAGACTTGATGGAAGGCAGGTACTCTAAAACATTCACCACAAATCTTTTGAGCTATTCTAATCAAATGGTGAGGATTTGGACCATGGGTGCATTTTACAACCCTATAATACAAGAGTGCAAATATTCAGCATTTGGATGTGAACCACAGACCCTGGAATTCACAGTCTGCCACACTCAGTTTGGCTAACATTTAGAAATATTCTTAAGTGGTTTTTCAGTCTTCATATAAGAAATCATAAAGTCTGTATGTTTTTAAAGTGACAAGAGCATATTTGACAAGATAGGATACAGTAAAGACTTCTTATTCAGTTACATTATAAAATACTAACAATATTCAGTTATGATTAAAACGTTTTTGAAGTTCACTTTAAAAAAATTGACTGTCTAACGAAGCATATACAGGAAGCCATACAACATAAGCTAGAAGGTGCCCTAGGAATGCAAATTTGATATACAAATATATGTTTTCACTGCTTCTCACAAAGTCTTATTGGAACGACTAGATAATGTTCAGGAATAATTTCTTTAGAATGTCTAGAAAAAAAAAAGAAACCTGTGACTATGTTTTTTAATTATTAATCACTGTTGAGGTTTTTGTTATCTTCACTATAACAACTTCATGCTAGAGATGACTTTAGCATTAAAATTAAAATGTATATTAATTTCCAACTGTATACTCTTTAGATGGTACACTAAGTATGGACATTTCTCATTTGAGGGCTATCATTTTCCACTAGTTATCTGTCATATCACAATAATTATTTCAGCAATGCAATGGGTGCAAAAAGACTATGTTCCATTAGCTATAAATGGATGATGAGAATAATTTGTTATAGTTATTATATACAATACATGAAGTATTTTAAATTATCATTATTTCTGAATAGCTTATATTTCCTTAAAAACCCTGCTTAAGTGGTAATTTACCTGTTTTATTTCATATGAAAATCTTGGTTTAAAACTATCAATTTACAAGTTGGAAGTGATTGAATGCTAAAAATACATCACAACAATCAAGTAGATATTCATATTGTTACTGAGACCACTTTCATATTGTTGCAAATATCAACAATGTTGTATATTTCATGGGTTTCCCACACAACTGTATTACACTTACAAAGAACTGGAAGTCTTGTAGGCCAATAAAACCTACATATTTTAATGCTTTGTCATTCACTAAATTAATATTCTGCCCTTTAATGGTTATAAGTGATATAATATAAAACTTCAGACAGAATTATTGACAATTAGTGAAATAAACGATGTGACAGTTGGGCCTGGCAAGTGGATTTAATTTTCTACTTTATGACTCTGTAAACAAACAAGATTGAAGGCTACAAAAATTACTTTAATTTAGTAATATATATATTATAATGAGTAATTTATGTTGAGTTCCATACTTCAAAGAGGGGAAGTAAATAAGTTAGAGAAGGGAGATGACTTAGAGAACAAATGTGATAATTCTCAAATTAATGAAAATTGAGGATTTTTAAAAATATTTCTTTATAAAATTAAGATTTCAAAACATATATATATATTATTAGAATTTGACTTACTAGCTATGTTTGGATGCCACATTATTCTTATACATTGATAATAAAGTAATTTAATTAAATTTTGACTGTAACTCTGTAAAAGGTTGTGACATGCACAATATAACCATCCTATTTGCGAGAGGATTAACTAGCTAACAACTACCAAATGTAAAACTAGCATAATGTAGCTTTATAAGTATATTCTCCTTACCTATCTTTGTATTTAATGACAACATCAATCAGTTTTTTCATTTGTTTTGTTAATTTTGGAGGGTTGGGTGACATCTTTTCCAAAGGTGGTCTTCCACGCTTTTTCTTAGGTTTATTATCATCAACTTCCAGCTCCCTTTTACGTTTTTTAGGAGTCTGCTGCTGTTTTCGGACTTTACGCCGTGTTTCCATTTCTTCAAGATTGCCATCTTCAATAGCCTAACAGAATTATTTTACAAATAATTAATACTATAGTCATGAAGAAAAAAAAAAAAAAGACAAAAGTTAGTCTCTGTAATAAAATAATGTGTATGTGCAACATGTACTTACAAGAACTGAAACATAAAAGGGTCTTAAAAAAGTATCAACATATAAAATTATTATAAAGTCTCACAATAATACAGGATAGGATAATGAAACTTTGTGAACAGGCACTGCACAACCCACAAAAGAAGACCTGGCAAACAACAAAGGCCATCACAAGAAGCCAGAGAGAAGCTAACAACTTAACACTTTACATACATTTGTTTTTTTTATCAAATCTAATAAAAGTCACTTATTCTTTGTTTCATTCTAATTCAGTTGTTTTATCATGATAAATCATAGAAACACATCCACTTGATACCCTTAGCCACTGCCTCTCAGTCAGGTTGTCAGAATAATCTACTTCTTTTCTTTGACGAGATCCACGTCCAAATAATTTATCTTCTTCTTCTTCATTTGTAAGTCTCTCCACCTAATAAAAAATCAAACTACAGGTTTATTATTTCTAAAACACCTAGACATCTATAGAAAGAGACAACTAAAAGTTCACCAGATTAAGATTGTTTTAAGAATAAGATCCTTATTTTTAATAAATCTTACATACTCTATAAGAACTGACCAAATTCGCATATAGGTCAAGCTACTAGTGAACTATTTAAAAATTACTTAAACATAAAGAGAAATAAGTAGGGTTCTTTAAGTGTATACCAAAGTGCAAACCATTAGGGGCCTTGTAACCACAGTAATACTATATAAACAACTTTTAATATGTTAATAAATGTTAAAGACAGCAACACTCTATTATCTTAAAATACATAATTGAAAAAAAAATTAATAGGGTGCAAAGAAACCTGATCTATCAACACATATTAACCTCTTAATGGCAATTTGTTCTGTCAGCACAAGTCACTGTCAGTGTTTACATTTGTGTGCCTTTTTTCCTATCTTTATTAATTATATATTCTAAATATCCTTTCTCAATGAAATTCTGTTTCTTTGTCTTTCCTTAAACATTTTCTCCCCTTCTTCTAAATAAGATTTATACATTGCTAATAAGCCAGGTTCATACCACTATTCCCTTAACCAGAACATAATAATAAAATAACTGATTTTAACTATATGGATTTGATAATTTATATCATGGTAGATACAGATGTGTGTGTGTGAGAGAGAAAGAAAAAAACACCATCTTACCTCAGCATCATCTTTAACCAGCCAACCTGGAAGTTCATCTTCTTCTAGAAGACGGGGTTTCCGCTTTGGATTGCGTGCTTCTTCTCGTCTTCTGTCTATATCCATTTTCTGTTTAAAAAAAAAAATTTTTAAGTAAAAGTAGAAATAAAAATAACTATTATGATCTGCTTGAAGTGAATTTAATAAAAAATGAGTAATAGAAACACATTTCACCTGGAACAGCTCAAATTCATCTTCATTTCGAGCAATCATTTGATTAATAGTTTCATCATCCGGTACTTCGTCTTCTTCCTACATAATAGATAACAATAAAATATAAAATACTTGTGTAAATATCAACATGCTTAATAATACAACATAATGCATTTTTGCACATTAATGGAAAAATTAGTTTATATATTAAAAAATAATATTTTAAGACCCTTACAACTGTAAGAATAGATTTGTTTTTGATATTACTGGTATTAAATGTCACAGAAATTAAAGAAAATCTGTTTACGTAACACGTTACATCAAATTTAATATTTATAAAAATAAATATCAAAACAAAAAAACAATTTATTAAATCTATGCAATGACCTTTCTGATAACAAATTCAGTTCCATATTTACATGTCTATAGCTTTCATATATTTTTACCTTCAACACATCAACTCACAAAAAAAAAAATCAGATGCAAAGAATTTTTACAAATCACACACACACAAAAAAAAGAAGAGAACAAAAACTACAAAGTGAAAACAAACCTCTTCATCTCCTTCATCCTGAGAAAGAATGGCCTTCAGAAATCGTCGTCTCTCAGTACCTGTTGACTTTTGATCAAACATACCAGCTTGAATTACTTTTTCATCTAAGTTTAACTTGTACTTGGCTGCAGCTAGGATTCTTTCCTCCACTGAGTTCACAGTAACCAGTCTCAGTACACGTACTTCATTCTGCTGACCAATACGATGGGCTCTATCCTGGGCTTGAAGATCCTATCATGAGAAATATTTAATTAGATTTAATGTTCAAATGGTGCATGTTTATAATTATATTTCCTAACACTTTTTGAATACATAAGCACGTATGTGTATATACTTACTAAAAAGTTTTATGTCAATTATATTTCTTCAAAACAAATAAGGTATTAAGTTAGTAACACCTCTTAATGCCTCTCAGTTACTACAACATGAAGTAAAATTTCTGTACAACAGCTTCACTTGTTCTTATATATCTATATATACACCTGGAAAAAAGTTAAGCACCCCCAAATATTTTTCAGGATTGCTTATTGAAAATAAGGTTTAATTTTCATGATGTTGAGCAATGTTCATAATTTCAAACATAATTAAAAGGATGTGAGCGTTCAGGTGTG